AGGTACTTAGTTGAAGTTTTGCTCATCGTTTTTTTTCCCGCTAGGTACAGTACAGACTGCACGAGGATATTAATTTTTGCAAATGATTATTATTGTCAGCTAATATAAAATCGTAATAAAAAGTACCTATTTTTATTATGTTAATAAAAACGACTGCACGGGTGGTGCAGTGGCTGGGCTGCCGTGCAACGTGTCGCGGGTTCGATTCCCGCACGGAACAACACTTTGTGTGATCCACATATTGTTGTTTCGGGTCTGGGTGTCATTGTGTATGTGAACTTGTATGTTTGTAGACGCATTCACGGCACAGGAGAAAATCCTAATGTGGGGCAAAGTTTAAAAAAAGAAAGCATGTGTATTTGTATAGGTAGGAACTTTGTATCTCTAGCAGATCAAGTGTCAAAACTGTACGTCTACATTTCTATACTGATATGAATTTTGTTTAGAGAAGTCTAGAATTGGGATGACGAAAGGGTATGAAAATTAAAAATGTAATTAGTCCGTACCTAAGTTAGGTAATTGAAAAATATTAGACACGTATTTTTTTATTTTGTCCTATAATAAAACAATACTTAGATAAAACGAATCAAAGTTTAGGAGTGGGGGCTAAAACGTCATTTCTACGTATAAAATGTACATAAAAGTGACGTCACGCGACATTTCAAATCAATATATCGTCGAAAGTATTCGTTTCTGTAAGAAAATAAAAATACGTGTGTAATGATTTAAAATAATCTACCAGACGGACATTAAAATAAAAATTAGTCGTCTACCCTATTGTCTGAAAGTGAGGTCTAGAAATAGGTATCCCCATTTCGTGCCCTTTAAACAGCTGATTAAAACTGGGCTTTTTCAACGCACAGATACTACTAGAGTAATAAAATTAAAAGTATTTGTAGACATTCAACATACAGCCTGATGGCCGTGAACCGTACACCAAAAACCCCATAGGCAGAAATGTCTCTTAATCTTCGTCTTTTAACACAATAAGTTTTTCCTTAACCAACTTATTCCGCATGCGTTAACTGATGAACATGGCCGTACGATATTAAGTGCCCCTTCACATTAGGGCGTTAGCAACGCGATAGTAACGCGGCAGAAGCGCATTCCTTCACGTTATAAAAACAGTCGCGCCGCTGCCACTCCTATAAAATGCCTAAATAATATATAACGCATATATAGTATAATAAAGTAGTTAGTGCATTCAAAATTATAAGCAAGATGGGCCTGCGCATTATAAGACAGATGATTCGTAGCCGCCAAATGTGCACATTGTGCCACTGTGCAATGTAACACCCACTTTTCACTATTTATGTTATGAATGAGTCCCATGTAATAGGGGGTGAGCCTATTGCCATATACCGGGCCCAATTCCAGACTCCGTACTACAACTACTCGTGCTACGAGATTTTTTTAAAACTCAGTAGGTATTACCTAGCCCGACCCGGAAATCGAACCCGAGACCACTTGCCCGACAGTCGTACTTGTGACCAGTCGGCCAACGAGGCAGTCCATGCAGGTAGTGCTGGCAGTCAGTCAATCGATTTATTCTTGTATGTAGATTTTATCGGTTCGATAATAATTCAATCGATATTTTTACACGATTTTATCAGCATCGTATGTCTAGTAAAACTTGAATTCAAATATCAAACGTCTTCCACGAAGACCAGGAGAAAAACAACTTATTTGCAATTGCAACACTGGCTCGTCGCCGACTGAAACACGCGGCGGCAGCGCGCGACCGCCGCGCTTCTGTTTAAACTATGAAATTCTAGTGTCGCGCGACTATTGCGCTGCTAAAGTCGCCTAAATGTGAAAGAGCTCTAAGTGATTCAATATAACATGTCCGCTTTACTAACAGTAGTGGGTAATGCAATTAATGTTATGTTTCTTTGTTAGAAAAACGCGTGGAAAAACGGATTAAACGTTTCCTTATACTTACCTAAGCTTTAAGTTTTTCGTATATTTTGTTCCACATTTCCCTGTTTTGTCTTTTATTTTTTATTTTATTTTTTATTTAACACTTTTTGTACAAATTTATACAATGGCGGACTTAATGCCGAATGGCATTCTCTACCAGCCAACCATAGGGTGATGCAGAGAAGTGTTACAGTAGGTTTTAAATTTTAGGTCTAAATATCCTTTTTTAGGGGTATGTTTACAATCAAATGAAGTGATATGGAGGGTTAGACTCTTACTGACTAAAACCACCCCGTTCCTACTCCTCGGAGCCGGAGCCACGGTTACTTCTGCGTTTCCGCAGCCTATGTGGCTTAACTCGTCGAGTACCGGTTTTATAGACACAATTATAGAACAATAGGTTGCGGTCACCGGGGACCGCTTGGTGTTTGACAGTTGAAAGGTTCTTAGTTTTAGAAAAAGTGTTGATGGGTTAGATTAGAAATAGCAATTAAAAAGGTCTATAACTAGTTGGTCACAGAGCGGTGCTGCTTAATTGTAAATGCTTAAAATTCTATCCAATCATTTCTTTAGCCCTTAAGACACTTGCAGACGGTGGGATGAATTGAGATCCCTAGTGACAATTAATGTATTTTACTCTACCGAAAAGGGCATATAGTAATGTACCTATATTTTCCTGTATAAGGAAAATAGTTACCGTAAGATATTTAGTTTGATACGTGACTCATTTGGGTAACTAACTGCCTAATTCCTATGTTAAACAGTACGCTTTGACCTGGTAACCATGAAGTTGATAGCGAGCGTGAAGGTTTTGAGTTTATCAAACCAGGTAGGCTGGGTGCCTACTCAGTTTATTGACTTTTGTATTAGGTAGGTAAGCGTTTCATGGAATAGATGCAGACACGAATCGTATAAGAGCATTTTTTATGGCATAGAGTGACAATCGGTGCTCCCCATAGACATTCGCAACACCAGAAGCATGCCGCTTACAACACATTAGAAGTGAATAGCTGGCTTTGTACGATTGGATCGAGATTGGACCTACCTTGGTAACCATACACACACGACGAAACAAAAATATAAGTATTTTTTCACGCCAGTTTTCTTTGAAATGAGTGGTTAGTAATCAAGGGACCCGGGCGTACTCAAAAAGCCACGGATGGGGCCCAATAGGGCTGATGCCGATACGGAGCCGTGGAGGATTTAACAAGCTGCCGGGGTTCCGGCTCGAAGTACAGGAGTAGGAACGGGGTGGTTTTTAGTCAGTAAGAGTCTGACACTCCCGCCCACCTCACCCAGGCGGGAGAAGTCATTCGATGACTTTCCCCCCTTAAAAAATAAGTGATTAAAGAACCACGGAAGCACCGTCTATGAAGCATGAACCCCATTACCTAACACTAGGAGCTACAACTGCGTTGCCAGCCTATTGGTAGGGCAGAGGGGGTCTCCTATTTCGTTCTCACATTTAAATAAACCACACGATAACGTGTCTGATATCACAAATAAGATAAAATAACAATAGCTATATTTATTCTGTTAGTAACGAAATACACAGAATATTAATGCCCACTTAAACAACTGCTCTATACTATAACTCGAGGTTAATAAAACAATAAACAGTTTTAATCTCATTGTTATTCTTTAATACGAATAAATAAATTGCACCGACATTTCAAAATACCAAATCATTTTTACAATCAAAATAGTATTTATATTGACTCCAAAAAGGACGATTATTGTCTAACAAATAGGTAATCGATTCAACCAATTAAAAAAATTAAGAAATCTATAAAGGTAAACAAAAGACAATCTTATCACTTTTGCAACAAAGTTAAAATTTTATTATCTATGTATGCTAACCTGTGCGGTAATTTTAATTTTAGAAAAGTAAACTTTATCTGTAATGAAATAGAGTCGCGTTTGGTTTTGACTGCCAACAGATAACAATTCACACAAACACAAGTGACTCAACTCATTCAACATTCAATGTTAATTTTGTTTTCAAACTCAGTCTGTGCGCATGTGCATAAAAAATGGCGGAAAAAGTTGCTGTTGTTACGGGTGCAAGCAAAGGATTTGGATTCGCAATCGTTAAAGGATTGTGTCAAAGGTTCCAAGGTGTTGTTTATTTAACAGCAAGAAATGAGAAAAATGGTCTAGAAGCCGTAAAAAAACTAAACGACCTCGGCCTCAAACCGCAATTCCATCAACTCGACGTCAGTGACGAGAAAAGTGTGCAAACATTCGCAGATTACATCAAAAATAAATATGGCGGGCTCGATGCACTGGTAAATAACGCTGCAATATTGGAATGGGATGAAGTTTATCCATCTTACGAAGCGGCGAAAAGAAACATCGATATAAACTACAAGAGTTTATTGACCTTAGAAAAGTATGTTTATCCGTTGCTAAGAGATGGCGCTAGGGTCGTCAATATTTCAAGTGCTTGCGGCCATTTGTCGAATTTGAAGAAACAATCCTGGATTCGTATGCTCCAAGACCCGGATTTAACTACGGAACAAATTAATCAGTTTGTTGATGAATACTTAGAAAGCGTGAAAAATGGAACATTTAACAAAAATGATTTTGCTGATGAAGGAAAGCATGCAGAACATAGGGTGTCCAAAATTGCGCTGACGGCTTTGACAATGGTCCAGCAAAGGAAATACGAAAACAGAAACATTTCTATAAATGCTGTTCATCCAGGACACATGAAGACTGAAATGGCTCAGGGTGGTGGAGAAGTAGAACCTGACCAGTCGGCTGAACTGGTCCTGTATTTGATTTTGGATGCGTCGCCGAAATTAAGAGGCACTTTCATGTGGCACAATAGAAGTCTCATTGATTGGTGCGATGCTGAAAGTGATTTTGCTTGCAAAGATCTTTGGTAAAATTCCAACATTATGCTTTTCTACATCTTCATTTGAATGTTTCAATATACTTGGTTTTATATCAATTGTATGTTTAATTTATAAAATTCAAAAATGATACAGTTTTCCATTATACAGAGTAGACCTAAATACATTCATACGTACAAAATATGTAGCAATTTTTGAAAATGCGTATAGTGTTACTACATATTTCCCACTACTAGATGTCACTGTATGCGATATTCAGAAAATCTAATCCACAAATCTTTTTCAGACTTCCCTGCTCATCTAAATAATAATCAATACTTTAACACAACAGGTGATTACATTTTTTAAATAGGTTTTCTTAAACTTCAATCATTTAGTGTTAATGAAAAACTACGTTGCTCACGTGGGATAACGGAACGCAATTGACAGGACAGCTGAGTCGATCGAATTTGACATATCATATTATGTCAGTCAACAGTTTGACAATTCGCAATTCGACCGCGGAATTCCGTTTGTGGGTGTGAATATTGAATTAACATTAGGAATAAATCGAAAATTTATTACGAAAAACAGGTTTTACAATAAAATAGTGAATTAAAATATATTTTTAGCGGCAAAAGACAGTGACTTCCATTTACCGATAGACCATTCTGTTGGGTAAGTAATTTTCCTGATTTTTCGTATAGAAATAAATATTAACAAATGCAATCGGTGGAAGAGGAAAGGAATACAATATTATGACATAATTTACGTCAGATGAGGAGTAAACTTGCTGCAACTGTATAATACTAGTGTTTAATGTTTTCTAAGATGTGACAGTACATAAAAGGCCGACGTTTCTGTACTAAAATAGATATTTTGACGCCTTGACCTAGCTCGTGCCATTATTATTCCTAATGCAGTAATGTAGAATCAGTTAACTGTTTTTTTAAAAAGTGAACAGACTATACTTAGTTTTGTTTTTTTCATAGTGTTTTTTTTAACTAAGTTGAGGATAGAGTGATTAAAACCTCCTTTATTCAAATATAAATTTGGAATGCGGATTTGGGACCTTGGCATATTTAGTGTTGTGGTGTTTTTAGTGTACTATGAAGGTTATTTTGTAGCAGGAGTTATTTAATTTAATTTATTTTAATATATTTTATATTATGTCTAATTTTTCTGCTGGTTTGTTTAGGTTTGATGTACAGTAAGTAACCTTGAGTTTATGATAATGAATTCTGTTTTAGACACACAAGGTAAACTTGTTTGCTGATAAAATAAGTAAATCTGACAGAAGGTGATTGATTACTTGTATTTTTAATTGAATGTATACACTGCCCTATACAGGAAAAAAGGTTTTTCTATATATGTATATTGGTAGCCAAGCTAAAACCTTATTACATAATACTGTTAAACAAAAAAAAAATTAGCTTCTCAAAGAAATGTCAAGTATTTTGCATTTTCTTATTCTGAATCTAGGTCATGGTTACTAACAATAGAAATCTAGTCTGCTAAATATTTTGTATTTCAATTAGCTACATTTCAAATTAGTCTTTAACTTGCAAAGTTTAAGGCTCAGAATCCCAATATATTCTAATTGGCTAATTACCAGTTGTTAACTCTGAAATCCTAGTTAAAAGAAATACTGCAATGTCCGGTTTTAATATCACAAACAAAATGTATTTTAAATAAAATTTTCAATAATTTTACAATACTGCCGATAGATAGGCTGTATGACCTAAATTACCTTTGCCATTAGAGAAAGTTAAAATTCTAAAATGGCCGCTTTTTGCCAAATGATTGGTACTCGGACCCAATTTGAATTGATTTAATATTTCCCAGTTATAGCAATACATTTGTAAATTAATTATACTAATATTGTAAACTGTTATGAATATTTTACAATTAAAATATTTTAATTGTAATGTAGGACTTATTTATTAATAAATCAATGGACAAACATTTAAAAATAGGTGCTTTGGGCTTTACACCAATATGTTTCATTGAAATGAAAAATAAAAGCATTTGCATTTTTTCATTTTTAAAGTCAAAATTTATTTATTTTGATTATTATTTTTAACATTTTCGCAAATTTTGAATGCAGTCTTATAAGAAATGACACCTTATTTAAAATGGAATATGCATTCAATTACCTACTTAAGTACCTAATTTAAACTAAATCTATTAATACATTTTTTTTTATCAAATTCACTCCAGTGGTTTAGGAGTTCAGTGACATACTCAAAACAACTATGATAACAAATGAATATCAGTCTTATCCAACACGGAAATGATTCATCTGCCAATTAGAAATGTTTACAGTTTATTTAATGAGTTGCCTTGTTTAATATCTATTTGATATCTTTTGTTACTAAGCCAATTTTTTATGAAAGTATGTATTATAGCTACATATTTTTATGATAATAGGTATAAAAGTGATAACATAACTAAATTGCCAATTCAATTGTGTAAATCATGAAGATGGATATTCCATTTTAAATAGATCCTGTGTTATTTTTATAATACTATCGTGTGACATACTAAATTAACTAAAATCGCGGGTTACTCTCGTGAATATACTGAGAAAAGCTCTACTAGTTTCGAACCGCAGAGGGGTTCTTCCTCATGAACAGCGTGTGCGGTCGCGGCGACGTCGCGCAGCTCACTGGGCGCTGAGTATATTCAGAGCTTTTCTCAGTATATTCACGTGAGTAACCTGCGATTTTAGTTAATTTAGATCCTGTGTTATTAAAAAATGTAATAACATAACTGGTTCAGCTCTAATTGTATTTATATGATTTATTTACATTTACTCTTGCAAAAACTCCAATGTTAGTAGTATGAATATACAAGTGCAAGGTCTCAGAGTCACAAACACTAGACTTATCCCTTCGGGAGCATTTAATAAATAAGTTTTGTAGGTAAGCATACAGGAACGTTCGAATTTCAAAGTCATGGTAATATAAATGTCTAAATTAAAGTAAAAGAATAATATGTTATTTGCCAATTAATCAAATTCAATACTTTTTAACTGTCAAAATTGACAGTTTTCAATGAATTTTATACTAGACTAGCTGGCCCGGCAAACTTCGTACCGCCTATAAATGTTTTTTCTCACCTTTTAAACCTTCTCTGGACCTCCACGTTCATTTTAAGACCAAAATTAGCAAAATCGGTTCAGCTATTCTCGAGTTTTAGCGAGACTAACGAACAGCAATTCATTTTTATTTATATAGATTGTGTATTGTGATGTCACATAGTTTTTACTGAGGCAAACACTAGAGGTAGGTACTATATGACGCTTTAGTCACAAGGCACCAAGAGTGTAGTACGGTCATTTGGGATTCACATGAAACGCAATACTGTGTCATGTTAGAGCGAGTTTAAATTGAATTTCGCAAGGCACTTGTAATTCAAACTTTATGGTGTATAACCTTATAACTCATTTATGTACCTGATATTATTTGTACTAAAAATACCATTATACTACTATAACATGGACAGGGAAAAACTGCTATAACAAAAGAGGAAAGTTTTCAAACTAGGTAATAAGTACTGAAATATATTTTATGAAGGCTACACTATAGAATTGGATTAAATCTGTAATGGTAGTTGTTAGTGCAATAAGTAAATAAATACTTTAAAATATAATAAATATAGCTAATAGATATACTTAGTGTGTCTAATTAATAGTAATCTATTTATTAATTAATATAATATTATGCAAAACTATTTTGTTAGTCGTTTGGATTAATTCAGAGTAATAATTAAAAACTTTCTTAATTGGGCAGTTTCCTGGGTCAAAAATAAATTATTTAGTTTTTTCTGTTTTTTCAGTCCAATTAAATATTGAAAATAAGTTACACTTTCATTTATTGATTTACCGATATACTTAATTTTCGATTTATTCTAGATTTTTTTTACTTATAAGTGTGCTTTTTGGCGCGAAAATATGATGACGTCATAAGATGGTATTTCGTACAAAATACGTTGACGTTTCGATAATAGTATTGAATTTGACTAGTTGTCAACTACCGTATTCTGTGCCTAACTATTTGTATTTAATTTTAATAGTCACCAAAACACACACAACACTACAAATCGACTAACAGTAAATATGTCCCAACTAAATGACTCTCAAACGATAACAGGGTCCAAAAGACCACAAAGACTTTAAATTAATGCCAAAAACAATGAGACTGTTGTAGCGACAATACTTATTATAGTGAAAATAGTTAAATTAGAGACAAAATAATGTGATATAGTGATAGTTCAAAAGTGTCTGAATTATAATATTAATATTATAACGAATTATTTATAGTTAGTGAATATTTAGTCAAAAAATTATAGCAAAATGATTATAATAGTGCGTTCAGTACGTGCGATGGCGTCGTTCGCGGCGCAGGCGGCTCTGCGATCTAGATGGAGTTCTCTAATTGAATCTACCAGCGTCGATGTACCCGGGGAAGTCACTGATGGCGTCCGTTCAGTCGTCGGCTGGTTAAAACAGGCACGGAATTTATATAGAACATTAATGCTGCTTGGACAGCGTTTGCGCAGTTTATGAAGAAAGAAAGATCTATGCTAGTGTAATTTGATCTTTATTTTTATTGGTATTTGGTTAACTTTGAAATGTAGCTTGCAGATATGTAGCGTAAATCATTCTTTAAACTGAACTGTTTGTGAACAGGGTGTATTCTTTTAGCTGGAGATTAGTAAACATATTTTAGCATTTGATTTCACTCCAAAATATTCATTTCATACCAAAGATTTTGGTATGTAACTTTCGATTCAAAACTTACAAAGTGGGAAATAATGTTTAATAAACTCCAGCGAATATTAGTTCCCCTAAACAGTCAACCACTTTTTATTCTTATGCACCATTTAACACCCTTGTACTTACGTCATGAATGCGCAAACGCTGGTCTGGTCAGAGCACCCGGAGCAGCAAAGATGTTAAACTTAATTTTTATATAAATGTTGGCATGGTTATCGTTTGTCTGGCCTCTTAATGTGAAGTTCTTCAACAGAATACTTGTATGAATTCGATGTTTTTGTTTCTAGTGATAGCTACAGTGTCTTATTTTGATAACTATTGTTTACTTGTTAGGTGTATTATGTTACCTTCTGATATATTTAAATACATATTGGTTTAAGAGCGATCAGGAACGAATTATGAAGTCCATTTACATGTAAAAGTCATGCTTATTTTGTTGTTTTTCGGCATAAAAATGTATTAACATTATGGCATTAATTGCTTTATAGAAATCACCCGAACGGCTTTTATGACGATGTTTTTTGGTATATCATTTTGCAAAAAACAATACACGTTCTACTTCTCAATGATTAGACAAAAATATTCATAATTACAGCCTAAGGTAGCTAACGCTTGTTACGTAAAGTTTTTTTATAAGCAACGTCTAACTACAATGATTGATTCGAGTCCAAAAACCTATAAAAAAGTAGCTCAATACCCACATATAAAATGTCTAGTATGTGGTAATTTGATAAGTTCAACAACCGAAAAAAAAAACCACTCTCATCAATGCTTGCTTAGTGGCAAAGCTATGTTTTACACTGCTTCCGCAGCTTTGCCTGATTGGTTAAAGGGAATATGGACCCTATATCACCCTTCATCTAGCGAACCATCTCCTTATAAGGCCAGACTTAAATGTACATAAAAGCAACGTATCGTGGGCTGTGACGTGAAAGAAATTCCAACAAAAGATTTCTTAGGGCAAAAATTTCTTAGGGCCTATTTTTCAATGCTCGGAATTTTTTTTACTGAGTACTTATGTAACTTTTAATATTTGACAATTCTTCCATACTAAAAACTGTCAACTGTCAATTTTATTCTACAGTTATAAATTAACTGATGATTGAAAAATCCCCCTAATCTATGCAACTTCTGCACGCCAAAATCGACAGTGGCGACACTCCAAAACATCAAAGAGTTAGAATAATGGTCCAATATCTCTCAAGGACATAAGTAAACTGTCCTAGATCCCAAATAAATCCAAATATGTCCAAAAGTCTTAGAATGGAAAGTTTGTAAGTTCCAATTGTTCGAAAAACATCTGTTATATTTATACCGAGATAACTTTTCGCAGCAGTTGGATCGCCTTTCATTTGATAACTGCCATAGTTCGCTTTGACGATAGAATCTTCAAATGAAAATTAAATACAAAGTCAAAGTCAAAATCATTTATTTCAATTAGACCAGAAAGGCACTTTTGAACGTCAACAATAAAATTAAAAGTGAAGCTATTTGCTCATTCCAAGGTGCAGATTCCTATGGAGAAGAACGAGCAAGAAACTCCATAGGTTACTCTTTTTCAATCAGGTTCATAATACAATTCTCTAGTTACATAGTTTGCTGTTTGTATTGTGCGAGAACAATGTAACACTAAAATCTAGTCAAAGTGATCGAAAAAGAAAATAACCTTAAAGACAATAAATAATAGTCTGGAGCTGACCAGTCCCAGTTGACGGCGCAACTTTAGTAATCGAGTTTCCTTTATATCTACATACCTACATATTTATTGATGTCAAAAGACAGAGCATTTAATTCGATAATTTATAAATAGTCTGATACGAAACCGTATCCCTCCGTTTCAAATATTGACACACCGCCCACACTTAGGTACTTACAACAATCCGTATAACTTTCAAGTACCATGTTACCGTCATTCAAGTGAGCAAAGAGCTTCCCAAGTCCTTCAAAGTTACTTTTTCTTTGTTTGGACATAATATTGGCTACGAATTTCTCAAGGTATTTTACATACTTATCGCAAGAGCATTTTGAACTGCAATACATATATAAAGCTAAGAGTATCTTCATGACTGCCTCGTTGGCGGAGTGGTCGCAAGTGCGTCTGCCGGGCAAGGGGTCTTCAAGGGGGGTTAGAATATTTATTGGGTCGGGAAAAGTATTACTGGGTTTTTTTTAATAATTCTCAGTGGTAGTACGGTGTCTGAAATTGTACCCGGTAAATGGCAATAGGCTCACCTCTTACATGGGACTCATAACGTAAAATAGTGGGTGTTACAATGGACATTAAGTGTCGTAATGTGCACCTCTGCCTACCCCTTCGGGGATAAAAGCGTGATGTTATGTTATGCTAAGAGTATCAAAATAGTCTTCTCCTAAAGACCCATTACTCCTAAAGACCCATTATGTGATTTGCAGCTGGAAATGTGCACATTAACCCATTTTTTCGTCATAATCATTGCTCACCGTGCGAGGTAATTGCTTGATAGTACTTTGCTGCTGCTTAGCTGAATTAAGGGAATTTCTGTGACAGTTTTAAACGACGTCAATGAGAAGAAAGAAAGAAAAAACATTTATTCGACAGTACGCACGCACACAGATACAAAAAAAAATACAAAATTAAAAAAGAATAGAACAAATAAATACACACATATATATTTAGATATAGAAAAAAAAACACAAAGAAACGACAGCGTATAATATTAATAACACAATGACAATAGAATGAGTGACAATGACGTGTTAATTTCTTTTGCATTTCCAAAATTGGGTCCAATTTCAAGAATCTTTTGATGACCGGTTGGTAGGAACCAGCAGCTGTAGCCAAATGCCACTAAGCGCATTGTCTACATGTAGAATAGAAAACCAAATTATATGGGATTGACGTAAATTTGTACACTTGTCAGTGTCATTCCCAAACATTACAGCAAAACTGTGGAATTATCTGTCGTCCGCGGTGTTTCCGAACCGATACGACCTTCCATCCTTCAAGAAAAGAGCGTATACCTTTTTAAAAGGCCGGTAACGCACCTGCGACTCTGGTGTTCCGGGTGTCCATGGGCGGCGCTGATAGCTTACCATCAGGTGATCCGTCTGCAAGTTTGCCTCCTATTCCATAAAAAAAAATTGATTTCTACTGTCTCTGTAGACAAGCGCTAACGTGGCGTTTATCTAAAGGCATTAGTCTGATTTAAGGATCCACATGCTTATTCGCTGAAAGGTAATTAATATGGCATAAAAAACCCAGTGGATGAAATATTACAGTTTTGGAATTTAGTTAAATACGAGAACAAAAGGATAAGAATTTTAAATGAATGCATGACTTAAAGTCAAGTCGTAATTTTGATGGACGACGTAGCAGTTATACATTTTACTATAGATACTTACAGATAAATAAAATTGGGGTGTCTGTTTCTCATATTAAAAGAATCACTTTTTACTACATGCATATGAATATACAAACGATACACATACCAAAATAACATTTTGACGTGACAACGTCTTAAATTAGGTTGCGGCTGGGAGTCACTTATGAAAAAGTGTAACGCTCGGTAACGTTACGATGAGTCACCGAACGAGAGAGAGGCCCGCCGAATGCCTTGCGTCTCTCTCCCACTCAACTATGATCGGTCTGCCGCGCGCGCAGCACTAGTTCATTCAATTCCTTGTTCCTATTGTGCAATTTAATTATATTCATATCAATAAATATTCTACCGAGAAAAAGACGTTGTCACGTAAAATCTTCGCCCGTAAAAACGACTTTACAGGCAACCATTTTTTTTTTAAT